TTGGCATGACACCAATCCTCAAAGCTAGATATACCGCAATGCAGATCAAAGGATACACTACTATAGCCACCACCGACAACAAGACTATCATCAAAGCTACATCACCGCAAGCAGTGGAAGAATCCACATGGGATCACCTAAGAAAAAATTAACCTGAATCACCAATAACCATTTACCAGAGCAAAGAGTTAACTCATCACATCGAGTCGATAGTTGATTCCAGAGAGAACGACCACAAAACATTGCCCTGCAACAAATCTAATCAGGAATAAACCAAGAGACTGAGGTTCCAACAAGGAGAGAAGAGAAGACCCATCACAACTCTTTCTCCTCCACCGAAAATCTCTAAACGGGACAAGCACTAAAAGACAACCTCAAAATTACAAGTGTAGACATAGACTACATGCATATGCAGTTCCGTCGTCCTCGAGCCGAAGAAACCGTCGAAAGAGTAGCCCAAACCACCATAATAAAGACGAGACACGACGGTCTTCCAAGCCGAAGATCGAAAGGAGATGAAACCATAGAAGACGGTGAAGCTAGAGCATAGCCATTAGACGTCGCTCCACTGCCGATCACAGCTCCAATCGTCTTCATATCGGCGAGGTAGATCAACACCGTTTAACTGTGTGAGACATGTGAAAGGAAGCAGCTGGAACTCCGCCATTGTTACTCGTCGTCAACAAACCAAATAGCTACAGTAGAGAAATCCTGAGCACCAAGACGCGGCCGTCACACACAAAGGTTTTCCATCCCACATCGCAGGAACAAAGCAAATTTAGTAGATTTTGGAGGTACAATCGTCGGGTAACAATAAACAAAAGTGAAGAACTATTGCCCTCTCACGGCACTGGTCTAAACCGGCTGTCGGAGAAGCGAGCGGAGGAGAAAGAGTTCGGCTAGGATTAGAGAGAAAACTCGCGGCGAGTGAATCTCACGTGCCGGAGTTTATGTTTTCGTCCCGAATGGAATACTATATAATTGTCTTCCACTTAAACAAAACAATTGAATATACAAAACACTAAACTTAAATATCATTGACTTTCTTTTTGACCGTCTTCATAATAAAATAGGTTATATGTGAAAATTTACAAAACGAAAGGTTACGATAAAAAAAAACGTAACTGATTATATATTAAATGTACAGTACTACCATCTTGTAATGTTTGTAATCTAATTCTATATCATAATGTTTTGTCTCAACAATTGGTTCCTATTGAGGAATTTTCTCTTTAGAATACGTAAAAGCAAAAAATACATGTCCGAATAACAGATTTCT